CAGAGAATGATCCTGACAGATCGTCACCGGAAAGTGCCACTTAGGATTGGTTACGACAGTCAGTACTGCAGTAGACGGTTAGTCTTAGAGGAAGTGTCGACAATTCCAACAGAAACGGAAGCGGTTAGTTGGGCGGAGGTTGGCAGTGATGGAGACGGAGTGGTTTTATCAGGAGAAGGAAGCGGTTCACTGATACAGGAAAAGCGTGACGGTTCCGCCAGCTCAGTGAACAAGAGGTCGCAACAAGGAAGTGGTCATGGCAAGCCAGGCAGTGTTTCTGGCAGGAGGAAAGCCACTGAACCACGTTGCAATGGTGATACGCCGGTGGCCGGAAATGGAAGGGGCTGTGGAAACAGTAGCCGCGCTTTGAAGTGTCCCGGAAAAGGTGGCCGGCAAAGGCGAGCAGTTAAGTCGGAAGCCAAGGATGAGGTTATACATGTCCGGTCAATGAGGTTAATGCCGGCGAAAAAGCGAGACGCGGAAACACTGGGAAAGTTTCAACGTGAGGAACCGGATTTAGCAAGATGTGCTAAAGGCAGTGCAGTACGAAGGCAGGAGCCTGGGTGTCATGGACAGAGGATGCGGCATAGATCTGGCGAAAATGGTGCCCACGAGAAGAGACATGGTCTGGTCACCACCAGTGGCCGGCAGAAGCACGACCATGTGAGATGGTGCACTCCCGGAGATAAGCCGGAAGCAATGTCCAGTAACGCATTGCGGTTGTACATGTCACAGAAGAAGAAAAACTTCACCTTTAAGCAAAGACGTGACTGGAAAGATCCGTTTAAGATTGACAACCGGCTGAGGGACGCAGTGCATCGGATCCAGACAATGGGGAGACCGAGGACCAAGATGAAAGTGGCCCACTTGGAAAGACTTGCAGCGGTTGGAGCGGCAAGTGTGTCTGATCGGGACGATCAGACTTAGGTGGAGGGCAGTGTGGCGAATACTGCGGCAACACAAAGCGAACAACGAGAAATAGGCAGAATGTTCGAAGAATGACGTAGAATGTTCTACAAAGAGAAACGTCAAGTTGGATGAACACTGCGAACAGCGAGAGAAAGAGAATGAGCGATAAACTTCAGAATGTTCTAGAGTTGCCATAAGTGCCAGCGCAGGTATATAAGGGCGCCGCCAACGCGGAGTTGAGTTAGTTACAAGTCAGCAAGCTACAAGTAAAGTTAGCGGAGAATCGAGTTGCGAATAAGCAAGCTATAAGTTTAATTGTGTTAACAAGTAGTAAAGCGTTGTTATTGCTTTAACAAGTATTGTAAAGTGTTTTTACTGTATTAGCAAGTATTGTAAATTGTTTGTTGTACAATAAAGTTAATTGTACTACAATTCGGTCATCGTTAGCCTTTATTTAACAATCCAGCGATACGAGCCCGAGTATATTTGGGAAATCCCTCAAGGTTTCGAGGATAATCGTAACAATAAGAAGCGACAACTCGTTAAAGTCGGCGAGTGAGGTCTGAAAGGTTGAGATGAGGAGTTCGCGTCCGTTTTAACATCCATTTTCGTAAATGAATTCGCCGCACATATGGTTTCGCGGCGATAAAGAACGTTAAGAAAAAGTGACCGATGATAGAAATAATCAAATGAAATGAAAAACAAACATGGCCGCAGCTCTTTTTGTTTATTTGCTGACGGCATTTAACAATTTGCATGCGCATGTGCATAGATTTATTTTATTTTATAATTTTAAACAAATATAAGTAAATTAAATACATGCGCTATGCAAGACCTTTATAAGCTTCCTCTTTAGTATGGAAGTTGTAAAGTTGTAATTTATGGATGAAATTACCCTTTTTATATCAACCAAATGTACATTTATAATCAATAAATAATTTACATCAATTTGTACAAATGTACTCTTGCGATTTTCCTCCTAACATGTGTATGTTTCTACATCCATGCAAATATACGTACATACGTACATATGTACATGTACGCATATGCCACTAAAATACAACCATAACAAATTCATTCATGAACGCATGCGCATATTCTTCAAGGTCAAACTCATTCATTCATAAATTCAATGACCATACTTCTCCCCGCAAACTCATCGCCCACAAGCGCAACTTCTGCGCGAGGGCCACAAAAATTCTAAAATGTAAAATTGAAGAAATCACAGCCAGTCAAATGAAAAGTTGCAACTCAGCAGTAAAATCTGAGGACGTTTGCAAAAATCACTTATCTCGAGCTTAGCCATTGTTTCTGTAAACCTCTAAACCGCAGTGCTCCTTCCAACTTTTAAATTACTAGTTAGTGGTTTAAGATTTTATTTTAATAAAAAATAAAATAAACATAATTTTTTTGCACAAATGACCCATGATATTTTGATGTAAACTCAAAACTTCTGAAATCACATACATAAGTGGTTTTACAACAAATGTAATTTGGCAACATGGTTGCCTTCACCAGCTTCGGTCATCAATTTTAAAATTTTTGTAAACCGATCGCCTACGATTTGCTTACAGTTGACTCTAGATACTAAGAGCAACATGTATACGAATTCAAAAAATTTAATTATTTTGCATTATTGATAATTGCAAAGCTCTGAAGCATGTATAAGTGAGTGTATACATACAGACCTATTCTCCGTTGGTAACACAAATTTTGTTTACTATCATCAAAAGCGATAAACACAAAAAATCGTACATTAACAAGCCTATTCTGCGTTGGTCATTTTTTTACCGAAAAATATAGTTCCTCTCTTTTTTTAACCCTTTTCGCATTCTGCGAACTCTCGTAACCGGTAAAATTTGTTTGCATCTCATAAGCAGGTAACAAAATATTACCCCATGAAATATGCAACAACAGAATTTCTAAAAAACTTCATAGCTGAAATGCGGAATAAATTAAAATATTACTTAGATAATTAGAATTGTGGTAACAATGTTTGGTAACAGAATTTGCTGGTTAGAAAATTTTCGGTAACAAGCAAAATGGGCTTCAAGATGTTCATGTTAGGAGCAGCCTACTGTAAGCGTACATATGTATGTGCGTAAATATGTCAGGACGCGGCATTTTGCAGGAATTTAAGAACTTGTCAAGATAAATATGGCGGAGGACGTGGGAAAGACGGAGACAACTTATGTTTCATATTTATAGGTTTTTTTAGGCGGAGGATGTGAGAAAGACGGAGACAACTGAGGTTTCACATTTACGCGTTTATTTTTGGCATGCATATGAACAAAAAATTGGAAAACATTCATTCTTGCCCGATAATAACAAAATGTACGCATACTCATGTATAAATGCATAGATTTAAATTAAACTTATGCCATCTTTTTATAATAAACATTGGTTTTGCTAATAAAGCCGCCATATACACACTTTATCCACCAAATCGCCCGACACATAACTTTTTTTTGCACACTTTAAATATGTAAATTTCCAGATGAAAACAAAACATAAGTACACTCATATATAAATGCATAGATTTCTTATTAAACTAATGCATTTTTATATAAAAGTACACTGATTTTGTTTAAAATAATGATCACTTTTATCCACATACACCGACAATCGACACTTGTTGACGAACACTTTGCAACAAACACTTTTTATTATTAATATAGACACTTTCACATACAAGCACCTCCGTATTTTGCACAAGCACTGAATATTCTATATTTCACACCATAATTTATATATTTTCTAAATTAAATTACATTTTTTCAACCACTTGTGGAAATAACCACAGAAATTCACACACATTTGCCGCTTTTCTTCTGTTTTGTTTGATTTTTCCGCATTCGAGGCGAAAATCAAAAATCTGCCGCGGACAGAGTCAAAAGGGAGACGAACTCCTCATCTCAACCTTTCAGATACGGTCAAAATCGTCGCGGCACATTTTCAAAGTAACGAGTTGTCGCTTCTTATACATTTACGTTCTTTGTTTGTAACTAGCGACCAAAATGACAGCTGGGCAGCAATAAATGTCATCCTGTGGAGACGGCCATAAGTTATATCAGCGGCAATATTTGTGTGGGCTTTTTTATATCTTGATATAAGCATTTGTATGATAGCTTCGAAAACGTATTTTTGCCGGATTAAATCGCTTAAAAAATTTAAAAAATAGGCTATTTTACAACCAAATACATAATTACAATTATTTTAACAGGAAACAGCTCAATTTTTGCTTTTATATTAAAATAATAATGATGTTGCAGCCACGAAGTTTTCGTGCAAATGAAAATGTAGCTGTCAAACTACCAAATTGCCGGCAATAGATGGCAAGATATAAGCTCTGATATATATTGCTCTCGAAGAGCAATGAGCGGTCTCCATTGGCAAATTATATTCTGACATATGTATCCATGATTCAATAATACAAGGTTAGATAATTATTGACAGCTGCGGTTTGACACTCCCTTACAAAAGGTTGCATTTACGAAGGACAGAGAAAGGGCAAGAATGCAATCCCTTGTTGCGAAAATGGTAGTAGAAAAGTACGCAAAGTAGGCAATTAGTAGTGAAATTCGTTTTGTAAATTCTAATGTATTTGCAGGAAATCTGGCATTTTAAACGAAATGTTGAACGTAATATTGATATATCTACGTGTATTACGTAATTTATATGCTATTTAGCCGTATAAAAACTGCAAAATGACTCAAAATTAAAATAAGACTACTATGAATTGATGTAAACATCCAATGCTTATGTTTTCATCATTTAAATATGCTTCATATGCATATACAAATAAACATATTGCACAAAAGCTTATACTTTTATTTCACACCAAAGCTACACTGTTTCCATGTAAATTTGCAAAGAAGCAACACGGTGCCACTGCTAAGGGAGCGGTGCGAGAGAGACAACTGTCAGTTTATCGAACCTTGTATTATTGAATCATGATATGTATCAAGATATAAACTTTATCCTGTGGAGACGGGAGATTTACGGGAGCAAACTTAATACCAAAGACTAAAAAAAACTAAGCTGGGTCACAAACCTCCAATCTTGCCAACTTGAAATAAGCACTGTCACTTCCATAAACAAGGCAACCTTGCCCTTTTTGATTGACAAAAATGTCTCATCTCCACGTGAAATTTCAAAAATAACAAAATAAAAATTTGTTGATCCGCATTTATTTTGTATGATACCGTTCAAAGAAAATAAAAAATCGATAATGAAGGCATTTTCAAACAAGCAAGAGGAACGTAAGGAAAAGAAGAAAAAGAAGTTGCTCGCTTTAGCAAAAATAGTGCAACTAAATGACGATGACCGTCGAGAATCTGCGGCCGAACAAATTGCTGCTGCAACATGCGAGACCTCTGCCCACAATGACGACGATGGATTCGTAAAGGCATGTACACAAAACTACATACATATCGATGGTCCTCTGCAATAACAACACAAATTAAAAAAAAATATATATGTTACTATTAAGTGGCTTCTTGCCTCTAATCATTTTCTAATCCATTTCCAACCCTTACTAAAGTAAGCAGCAAAGATTGCTAAAACGAGTCATAGAGATTGGACATAGATTCGAGAAGGATAATAGACATTATCCACTTAACAGTAGTAAGGGTTTTTACGTTTTGAATTTTCAATTGTGTCGTTATTGTACAGGACCATCGATATGTATATTTCGTAAAACGTGTGTTTAACATATTTTACCTTAGGTCACTCACAAAAAGAAAGCAGCTAAAGCAAATGCTAAAAAGCCTCAAATTTCCTTGCCTGAGCAAGGCCTACGCACTGAAGATGAGCCACAAAACAAGCGTCCTAAACTAGCAAAATGTGAAAGCATTGATGGAGATAGCAGCGATACATCGTCGTCAACAGAATTAGCAGCAGAACAACAACGGCTCAAGTTGCAACTAACTGAAGAACAGTACAAAGATTTACGTCGACAACTGCGGCAGCGTAAGAGGGAGCTGGAGAACGTGCCAATCTTACGAATGCGCGAATTTGGCCAACGTGCATCCCTGGAGACACCACAAAATCAACGTACCCCAATTTTTCTAACAGACATTCAACATTTGCTTATGTCTGCACTAATTGGAAAAAAGTCGCCGTGCTCACCAGATCGATGGTGCTACTTGGAAAAGCCACTACGACTATCTCACAGTGTCGTTTTGATATTAGAGGGACTTTCACTATATCACTACCTTTCAAATGAAAGTAAATTCTCGCAAACAAATCAAATATTTCAGACACGCTTAGAACTTGTGCTGCCACCACTGAAAGATGGTTCCATCATAGAAGAAATGGCACAGGTACCGCTAACCAATGTACAGGCACATAAGTTAATTGAAGAGCATGGCTCCTTGGAATCTGCTGTAGAAATGACGAAAGATCCCACTTTGCTCGTTAAAGCAATTTTCCCAATCAATGAGGCGTGTGTAGAATCGAAGAAAAATAACCTGAATGTTGGCGATAAATTTCCACGTACCAAACTCTTGCTCTCCGCTTTACAAATGGTAGATGAGGGTTATCCAATGCCATTGCGAGGCGAACTTAGCGAGCGATTTAAAGACTACGTGTTTACTAAAGACAAATACGAACCTGTTACAGACAATAGTCCCATGTTCGGTATTGATTGTGAAATGTGTCGTACAATTATTGGACATAATGAGCTGACACGTATTTCAATTGTAAATGAAAAGCTCGAAACCGTTTATGAAACTCTGGTAATGCCAACAAATAAAATTGTTGACTATTTAACACCATACTCTGGAATTACGGCGGAAATGATGCAAATAGTCACTAAAACACTAGGCGATGTGCAGCGGGAATTGAAAGAGCTCCTACCACCAGATGCCATTTTGGTGGGTCAATCACTCAACTTTGATTTGAATGCTATGAAGATGATGCATCCGTATGTGATTGATACGAGCATGTGTTTCAACTTGAGTGGCGTGCGGAGAAGGAAGGCAAAGTTGCAAACACTTGCCATGACTTTTTTGAAAGAGGCTATACAAGAAAATGCTGATGGTAAGTCTATTACATTCATGTGTGAAAAATATAAATATTTCATATGTTTTTATGTTTACAGGTCACGACTCGGTCGAAGATTCTTTGGCCAGTTTAAAGTTGGTGAAAATGAAATTAGCAAACAGCCTCGAGTATGGGGATGAAATATTGACACAAAAGAAACGTTTACATGATATTATGCGTTTGGCAAGCGGCGATAATATTAAAAATAATTTATTAGCGTACGCCTCCCAACGCGACAAGAGGACAGCAATTATAACAAGTGGCACACTACAATCACAAATGAAGGAAATCTTAATGAAAACTGAAGAGATTTCAATTCAAGAAACACAGAAAAGTGTTTCTCTTTACGAATTGGATACAAACAAGCAGGCAATTAATAAGGCACGTGAAGTAGCTTTAGAACACAATTTGACCATTACCAATTTGCGATTGGGCATAGAAGAATTTCAGCTAGATAATGCGGAAAAAACAGTAATGAAAATTGATAAATGGATTGCCAAACTGTGGCAGACTGTGGCGCATAACGGTATGTTTTTGGTTTTGATGGGCGGCTCGACGGAATGCGCCAGTGGGGTTGCGAAAATTGCTATTAAGAAAAATGCGACTGCAGTTGCAGCCAGTATAGCGGCGACAACACCGATAACCATGTAGTGGATACAAAAATTTTCCGATGATGTGTTAGTTCAAAGACGATGATATTAACTTGTGGAAATTTCATAAAAAATTGTTTGAATGATGGGGGATAATACATGTAATATATATAATTCTATGATTTTTTACTGGTTTTATTCATAGTTTGCTGATTTTGAAAAAAGAAAAACATTTTAATAAGTTAAGGAGTATTAAATAAATAAATAAAATATTCCGACGAATTGAAAATATAATCAGTGGCACCCAAACATGCTGTAAAAGGATTATAGATAAGATAACTCGTCTGCGACCAATATGCACACATTTCAAAATTTCTCAGGAACATCAGTAGATGTTTTGTTTTCTACATTCTCTCGGTGCTTCGTACCAGGGTTGTTGCGAATTCGCATTCGCAACCGCGGATCTTCCGCATTAATTTTAACAAAATGACAAATTGTAGAAATACCCGCATTGATTTCTTTCTTTCTTATGATTTTTCTGGACCAATCTTAAAAAAACAACTAGACACAAACGAAGAAAGTGTGCACTGTCATTCTTAACCATATTTTCGTGATTTGATTTTGATATTACATACATATATTCGTTTCAATAATTTCAAATGGGGCTCTTTGGGGAATTTATTGTTAGCAAAAATTTTAAAAACAGTAATTTTGTTTACTTGTCGGGAAATATTTTTTTCATAGGGATATACATTGGATCCTTTGGAGAATTTTGTCCAAAAATAATAAGTTATTTTCGATATCCACCTATTTAGCTCGCTATAAGCACAAATATTTCAAACCAGTCGCAGAAGAAAGTATTAAAAATAAATTACAAAAACTAAAATCGAAAAACGCTGACGAAGTTACAGATTCCCCAAATTCTGAAACAGCCGAAGGACGCTTTAAGAAGCTTTAGAACAACCTGACATGTATCTGGTTTGGCTTGTAAGCGTTGTTTAAACAACGATCTCGACATTATGCTAGATTCTAATTGTTTCTTAAAAATACTTGACATCCGCAATCGCATCCGCATCCGCGGAGGTTAGCTGTTAGATATTCGTATCCGCGGATGTCTAAAATTCCACATTCGCAACATCCCTACTTCGTACAACTTATTAATTTCCTACAAATATATGTACATACATATGTATATACTTATGTATAAATGAAATTTTATCTAGGCCATATGTAGATATATACATATGTGCATATGCACGTATTTGGCGCTCCCTTCGCTCTCTTCAAATGCTCCATTTTACCCACTCACCCTACCTCACTGAAACATGCCGTGTTGTAGCCAATATATAGAAGTGTTGCGCGAGTACCTATTGAGTGAGCGTGAGTTGCGCAGAAGATTTTCCTACCCCAACTATTTTCCTGCAAAAATTTGAGAACCAGGTAGTACACTGGGTCGTAGTTTTAAAGTATGTGCAAAAGGGTCACTTTGTATACTAGTAAAAACCTGATATATGTGTTGAAAACCATCCCTTCGTGGACCATCGGCAATATGATTCGACTGCCGAATGCGCCATGGTCCAAAAGGAGTAGTTGTCTAGGTGGTCCTATGTGGGGCAGCGGTGGACCAGAAGTGGTCCACTGTTATGCAGCGTTAGACAAGAGGTGGTCAGGCCCAATAACATCGCAATGTTAATGTAACCATATTTTCTCCATATATTTGGACTATTTTGGTTGCTAGTGTTGGTTACAAAATAGCGTGGTCCTGTAATAGGTTTTAACCTAATCCCAGTTTTTTCAAGATTTGCTTAAGGCAAGAAGTTTTATTTGGCTTGATAACGAAGCTGTGTGAGAGATTTACCGAAGTAGAATTCTCATTCGTGTACAAGCAAGCATACCTACATACATACATACATATGTATTAGCCGCGCAGCTTTTTGAATCTGAAATTAGAAATTAAAAAGTCGTAGAGAAAACATATCGTATCGTTTTCTGAAAATACTATTCGAATTCTCTCCCATTGTACAATACGTATGATGATAGCTTAAATAAAAACTTGAGTTCTGCCCGGATTTTTTGACTATCCGGCTAACCCGAATATTCGAAACCTGAATACCCGGATATCCGAATAGCGTATCGATATCCGCTTCTTCTTCTTATTTGACTCTGTAATCGCCTAAGCGATTTTGGCCGGGTACAACAATGCCCGCCAGTCGTTTCTCTTCTGTGCCACTGAAGCCAATTGGAAATGCCAAGTGAAGCCAAGTCCTTCTCCACCTGGTCTTTCCATCGCAGTAGGGGACTCCCTCTTCCTCTGCTACCGCCAGCGTGCTCCGAGTTGAATACTTTCAGAGGTGGAGCGTCGGTATCCATTCGAACGACATGGCCAAGCCAGCGGAGCCGCTGTATTTTAATTCGCTGCGCTATGTCCATGTCGTTGTACAGCTCGAATCCGCCGATCCGTTAAAATAATGTTTCAAATATCCGGATAGTCAAATAGCCAGATACTTACCGGATGATCAACGAATGTTACCGGATATCCATACTATACGGATTTTATCCAATATAGACGAGTAACCGAACGGATATTCGGATAGTCCCAGCCCTAATTTATATTAATAATTTAAGCATTAATAACACTGTGCTACAAAAACCAAAACATTTCAAAACATGAAAAAATTAAAGAAGGGGTGAGTAGGGGCCAAAATGTATTTAATTAACTGATTGATGTTAGTGAGGCACTACGGCCACCCCCACATTAGCACTTAACTTAATGCCGAACATAGTGCTCGCCGACTTTGCAGGCGCCTACTGAAATAGCTCCTAGGAGCTTCTCTGCCCACTTTCCCTCAAGGGAGGATTGGGCCGGGTGGAGCTTCTGGAGAGGGGGAACTGCTGTGAACTTTTTTACGGATGGATCGAAACTGGACGGTGGCGTTGGTGAAGAGGTCTTCCATCAGTACTAAGGGTTTCCGAAGTGCTTTAGTGTATTTCAGGCTGAAGTGGCTGCTATTAAGGAGGCAGGGGATTCACTGCTCAAGAGTGTCATGAACGCACCTAAAAGAGCAGTCAGGCACTGCCCTTATAGCTTTGACCACACCGGTCCCGAAAATTGGAAACTCAGTGTTCTGTGCCTGATCGTCAAGAAGGGAAATCCTGCTGTTTGCACCAATTACAAAGGGATAGGCCTTCTTAATATTGCGCGTAAGATCCTATCGACGATACTCTGTGAAAGACTGAAACCCTTCATGAACCAACTGATTGTGCCTTGTCTATGTGGCTTCAGATCTCCATCCATCATTTACCAAATTTTCACAGCGCATCAAATCCTGGAAAGCAAATCGATAAACACCACCGTCTCGACCATTTTAAAGCCGCTTTTGCTATTACGAAGGGAAGGAATTCTCAAATGCGGCTGTGAAAAGTGTAGTTGAGCATAACATTCAGCTGCGTTCAAATTGAAAATGGCCTTTCCGCGCACAGATTCCCCCAGCCTAGAGGGGGTTGAAGAGAACAAGGAAAACTGCCGCCTGGCACGACAAAAAAAATCTCTTCGCGTATTGGGACACTTGTCACTGTTGGCAGTTATAACTTTGAAGCCGCGAAGGATACTGTCTACCCAGGGTCCAGCATTATTCCACCAATAAAGTCAGCCCGAAGTTCGAGCGAAGAACCTCTGTTTCTAACAATACCCCACTAGATATTGAAAAGCAGAGCCTTTCCTCGATGAACAAAAATTGAGCTCTAAAAATCTGTTTGCAGACGATGTTGAACAAAAGTAAGGAGCCATTAGCGCTTTCTATAGAACTCTTCTACACAAAAACTATGGCCTTGTTCGCATTGGCTACGAGTACCGGAGAAGGTGGGATGACGAACTGGCACTCATGGTTGCACAACGAAGGCGGAGGGTGGACCACAAACACAATGAAAGGTTCAAGTGCCTGGGTTTAAGCCCAGTTTCCGGTCAACATTAAAAAATTAAAACCAAAAAAGACAATGCCATGAAAAAGGTTTCCCATAAAAGTACAATCGTCTTTCTGAATCGGCGTAAAACTGTAGGTAAAAGGTAAAAGTAAATATTAAACTAAAAAGGAAAAAAAAATTAAAACAAAATAAAAAACTAAATAATTTTCAGAATATTTTTTTTTTTTAAACAACAAAATCTAAAATGTAAAAGCAAATTAAATAAAGAAACAAAAAATCAATTAAATAAAAAATAAAAAAGGTTCCCAAAAATTAAGTTAATTAAAAAAATGAATTTTTAAAACAATAAAAACTTCGAATTAAAAGAAAATTGAATAAAAAAATATTCCAACGAATTGATAACCTCCTCCTGTTTTTGAATGAGGCTTAAAACAAAACCTACATAAAACAAGATTTTACAAATGAAATTTAATAAAAAAACATTAATTTATTTAAACAATAAAACAAAAAACTAAACCAAAACTAAATAAAAATAAATCATTTAAAAAAAAAATAAATTAACAAACTTTAATGAAATTATAAAAATAAACACATATGCACGTTTCTAAAAATTAAATGAAATTAAAAAAATATATGCACACTTTTCTTTTCTAAACAATGCAAACTAAAAACTTTATAAATTTAATTGATAAAAATATACAGAAGCAAAAGAAAATAATAAAATAAGTTCTTGAAAAATTTAATTGAAGAAATATATACTTTAATGCAATAAAATCTAAAAATTAAAAGAAAAAATTAAAAGAAATGAAATAATTAGATTAATAAAATGAGTTTCTAAAAATTAAATGAAATTTAACATAAAATACGTTTTCTTTTTTTAAACAATAAGAACTAAAAATTAAAAAAAAAGTTTTCATAAAAGAAAAAAATTTAATTTCAATAACAAGAAAAAATAAAAGAAATACCTTTCTAAAAGCTAAATTAAGTTAAAAAAATGTTATTCTTTACGAAAAAATCTACAAATTGAAATATAAAGATATTTAATTAAAAATGAAATAAAAAATAAATTAAAAGAAAATTCAATTCAAAGATACAGAAATTTAATTTCAAAAAAAGAAAAGCCTACATTAATTAAGTTTCTAAAAACTAAATTGTAATTTAAAAAAATTTTTAAAGTATTAAAAACTAAGAATCAAAAAAAAGTATAATTAGAGAAGAAAAAATATTAATTTAAATAAAAATAACAAATTAATGAAATAACTT